CGGGGGTACCCATCTGCGATAGCCTTAGAGGGCGGAGCTTACACGAAATAGAACCACAAGTTTGATGTCTTGTAGGGGAAGCTGTAGCTGCGCTGGGGCGCTAGCAGTTGCTATTGTCTCAGGATGATGATGTCATAACATGATCCGAGAACCAACAGCAAAGGCTGTGTTCTATTCTAAAATACCTAAACGTGAACTTCAACATTTAACTTCAGCATTTAAGGTTGAACTTTTACACTTAGATTTAAACACTTAAATTTAGGATTTAGCAATTAAATATATTCTTTAACTTTTAAATTTAACATTTAGCAAAAAGTAGATAAATGTAAGAACTGTGAGCTAAATAACAAAATTTTAGTGGAAAAATTTTAACACCCAAAAAGTGAGTTAAATAATGCAAAATACGTTAGTGAAATTTTCTCACATTTCATTTTACACTTAGCACCCCATTTGTTTCTACCTTCCAGTTGTCGGACTCGGTGAGCCGTCTGTACTGCAGCTCATACTCCAGGGTGATCCAGCCGCTCTGCTGGACCTCAGGCACTGGGTACGTCCAGGATAGCAGCACACTGTGGCCCATCTCATCACCGCCAGCGTCTGTCAGCTCGTAGGTCAGGTTGACTGGAGCTTCGGTCTCCACTGGCCAGCAAACAAACAGATAAACAAGATGACCAGAACAACTTTCCTTTCTGAACTGGAACCAATCACTTGCTCACAAGCTTACAATAAGTTTACTGTAATGAGGTCATGAGAAGAACCGGATTTAAACTCATGAAAAAAAAACCTGAGATGTAGTGTTTGAATTGGTTTACACCATTTCCAAAATTTGACAGTTCACATAAAACACAAAAAAAGTAAAAAGACCAGCTGATGGACCATTGGGCTTCATGCAAGAACTGTTCGTACGTACAGAATTGTTCTTAAATTGTGCGTACGAGTGGTTTAGGAGAATTTGTGGCATTCACCAATGTTTTCGTATTCTAAGATTTTTTTTCAGATAAGAACAAAATTCACGAGTGGTCCAGACCTGTCGTATATTTTACGAGCAGTCAGTCTGCTGTTATCCAGACGNTAAAAGTTATCATTTTATAAATCAAAGTTAAATACTTAAATGAATGACAAGCTATTTTCTTTCATTATAACTCAGAAAAGAAAAACACAAAAAGATACCGTTCCAATGTTTCTTTATTTGTGTGTGTTTTAATCAACCGTTATTTGAATATAAAGGTGATTATATGTTTTTCTGTTTTATTTTTCAATTGAACTAAACAATAACTATAATGTAGTTTACTATGTTTTACTATGAAAAATGTATGATTGTTGTGCTTAAACTTAAACAAAATCTTAAGTTTATGTTGATTTGAAAACTTCACTAGAGCTTGGTTCATTTTCAACTCTTAAAACCTGTCAAGGTTTTAGCTGTTTTAACAGGTGTTGTTTTTGCTGACTGAGGCAGTATTCACCAGACCAGAGGAACTCTCCCAGACTAAACTTCACCTCCATCTTTTACTAACAGCTTCAAGCCATGCCCGATAGTACCCTCTTTTCTCTCTCTCTCCTTTAGTAACTAACAACGGTTAGTTTTAGCTGTTATATTTAGCTTCTTGTTACCGATTAACTACTTATATTTAACCTTTTGTTACTTTTAGCCAGTTTTGTGCTTTTTAAGGATTTAGTTAATTTTAGTTTATTTTATCTTTGAGCTATAGTGTTCTGTTACTTTAATATTTTATGTTGTTTTGCTCCTTTTAGCTCTAACCTTTTGAGCTAATACCTCAGTTTAAGCTTCTTCTGCAGTATTCTCACTGTACTTTCACAGAAAATATAATTTGTTACGTTAATTAGGAACATATTGCTGTCTGTCTCATAGAACATTTTAAATCTAAAGAGTTCAGTTTTTCCTGGTAAAATTCAAATTTATGTGGACACTAAATAACTATAACAGCCTCATGTTATATGAAAGAGCATTCCTGCTGCCATGGAAATCCTGAATGTGAGCGGTTACCAGTAGACAGTCTGTTAGGGATGCTCAACAGCAGCGTGGAGCTCCATTTGCTCCACAGGCCTGAGTTGTGGGACCGGCACCGAACTCGGACGGCATAGTCTCCGACCCGCAGGCCAAGCAGCTCTACATGAGGCTCGCGCAGAAGATTTTTCGGCTACAAAGACAAACAAGAAGGAAGGAAGAGTTCAGAAAAGTCCCCTTTCCACATTTCTGCTAAAAGTTGCTAGTTTACAAGTTGTTGATTGCATGTTATGTTTAGATGTGTGTTGTTTACATCTGTGTTGTTTATGTGTAAATAAATTGTCAGGTCCTGCATGTTTCTATGGGGTGCTAAGTGTAAACTGAAAAGTTAGCCACTGCTAACGCTGCTGAAGATAACATTTAAAATCTAAATTCAAAATGTGCCCATAAAAACAATATAGGTGGTCCCTGTAGTCTAGCAGTTTAAAGTTCAGCTCAGACACCAGTCATAACGTTGGTTACGTATTGTAACCCCAGATTCTATGAGTGTAAGCGCAGCCCTCTAAGGCTATCGCAGATGGGTACCCCCGTGCGCGTACGCGCATTCTGAAGACCAATAGTCTACGCCCACGTGACGTGGGCCTCACCTCGGTCCGTATAAAAGGGGAGGACGGACCTGTGCTCGGCTCCCAATAGCTTACTTTTTCTTCAGCTACGGGAGCCGGTGAGGCCCCGATCCTTAGAGGGCTGCGCTTACACTCATAGAATCTGGGGTTACAATACGTAACCAACGTTCTATTTCGTGTAAGCTCCGCCCTCTAAGGCTATCGCAGATGGGTATTAGAGGCGGAGCCTGATGTAGTCTACGCCTCACCGGCTTGACATACACGTGAAGCTTCCGCCCAAAGAAAACACACCTTGTGATGTGAAGAAGAGACAGCACGCTGTGTGTGTATTTTACTTCAAGCACAAGGAGTAATTTGTGCAAAAA